AAAACATTTTATTGGTGTATAGTTGATTTACAATTTTGTGTTAGTTTCAGGTGTATAACAAAATGATTCAGTTATACATATACATATATTCATTTTCAGATTCTTTTCCCTTATAGGTTATTACAAAATACTGAGTATAGTTCCCTGTGCTATACAGTAGGTCCTTGTTGGTTATCTATTTTATATATAGTAGTGTGTATATGTTAATCTCATCCTCCTAATTTATCCCCCCCACCTTTGGTAACCATAAATTCTACGTCTGTGGGTCTATTTCTGTTTTGTAAATAAGTTCATTTGTATCTTTTTTTTCTTCAGATTCCACATATAAGTGATATCATATGATATTTGTCTTTCTCTGACTGACTTACTTCACTTAGTATGATCATCTCTAGGTCCATCCATGGAAATGAGATCGTGAAATGGTCAGCCCATGTGCCCAGTAAAAATTCTAATACTACAGAAGAAGGTAGAGTGGATATTGGAGGCCATTAGCAGTCTTTACCACAATGGTGCTAGTCAGTCTTTAAAACGAAACAGTGAAGTAGGCATTATTATGCCTATTTTACTGACAAATATATTGAGGTTCAGAGAAATGAAGCAACTTGCTTAAGGGTGAGCTGGGATTGGAACCCTGACTCATGTTTGACTCACCATGTTCTACTCCCTCCCCAATGAAATTGTTCCTTTGTGAGTTTTGCTGCTTCTCTTTTGTTTCCTTCTCACTCGGTAGTGCAATGTTAGCATGGATGTCTACACTCTCTGGGCTGTGAGCCTTCCTCCAAATTCTTATTCTCTGGCATAATAATCATGTCCCAGAGGGAGAAGATCGTGGACTTGCAAAGGCTGGGTGCCGTGGGGCCACATGTGTGAGCTGTTACTTCAGTATTTGCAACAGATGTTGGAAAGCAAGTCTATAAACTGCAACCTCTTCATGAAAGAGCAGTGTAGCCAGCCGACCCAAGAGAAGAAGGCCAAGGCCAAGAGAAGAAAAGGCCACTTGACTCTCAGGGTCTGGACCTGAATCAACATCAGCCTATTCCATGGGAATGTGAAGCTGGTAGAGTCCATGAAGGGGACATGATCAGAAGCCCAGTATTATGTCCACATGGACAAACTCTTTGACATTTTTCTGAGACCTGTCTTGGCATTGAGTGTGGCTGGTGCACGTGCATGGGGAGCGAGCTGGAATACAGGTACAAGAGCACCTTCTGTGATATCATCAGGTTGTACTGGACTCTCAGCAGACACTGCCAGCAAAGGAGCACCTTGCAGAGTATGACTTGGGGTCCAAACTGATAGTTTCCAAGATGCTCAACTGAAGATGCCAAATCTATCCCATCAGCATGCAAGCAAATCCTATCAGGCTACGCACATTGATTCTGGCTCTTTAGGACTACTTGACTAAGTTTGTCCTCCTATATCCTCTCACCACCAAGTGGGTCCAGGAGGACACCCTGTTGGACATCTTCACTGTGCTCAGGGAACCCAGAGTCTTGCAGACTAGTATTGATGATATTTCTTCATCCAGATTGACAAGGGCTCACACAGATGTGGCCAAGCTGAAGATGGCCCAGGAATATGACAGGGCACCGTGGCTTGCAGATGCACCACTCTGATCTCTGCCTCTCTCGTTACATGGCATTCTCACTGTGTCTAGGTCTCTCTTATCTTCTTATAAGGACATTAGTCATATTGCATTAAGGGCCCAGCCTTTGCCAGTATGACCTCCTCTTAACTAATTACATTTGTAACAACCCTAGTTCCAAATAAGGTCATATTTGGGCTTCCCTGGTGGCGCAGTGGTTGAGAGTCCGCCTGCCGATGCAGGGGACACGGGTTCGTGCCCCGGTCCGGGAAGATCCCACATGACGCGGAGCGGCTGGGCCCGTGAGCCACGGCCGCTGAGCCTGCGCGTCCGGAGCCTGTGCTCCGCAACGGGAGACGCCACAACAGTGAGCGGCCCGCGTACCGCAAAAAAAACAAAAACAAAAACAAATAAGGTCATATTCTGAAACTCTGGGAAGGACACGAATTTGGGGGGAACACCATTCAACCCAGTGCACTGTTGACGGCTTAAACGCAGAGCAATGACACACAGCACTAGCCCCAGGGTCTGTAGTTTGTTCAGATGATGAAAAACTCAACTTACCACAAGGTTATCTGCCACAGCCCCCATGAAGCCATGTTTGTCTGCAAAGCCAGGCTTGGCCTGGCAACTCCAAGTCACCCCAGGAAGTTATGCTTACACTTAGGACCGGATAGGATTCGAAGAGGGAACAGAGACAACTGAAGAATAGCACCCATGTGCAACAGGAAGACAACAGAGAGATGAGACCTGGGCGTGAATTCAATGTTGTTCTTTCACATGTAGCTTTCATTAGAATGTTTCTGGCCTGAAAGTACCAGAAAACTCAACTCACAATGGCACACCCAATAAGGTGATTTGTTACTTAACCTCCAGTACTTTCTAAATACGTGACAGGATTGGTTAATTTAATGACTCAGCATTGCTATTAAGGAACAAGTTTCTTCAACTTTCTTCTTCCATTTCCAGGATGTCCTCTTCAGCTAACTGTCCTCACAGTCCCACAATTCCAGCAATGTCACACAGATATGATGATGTCTAGTAATAGACAAGGGAATGTTTTTCTGCAATGTCTTTTTATAAAAGTGTGATGACAGTCTTTCCCCAAAGTTGCTGAGTAGACGTCCCACCTTGTCTCCTTGGTCAGACTTTTATCCCATGCCTATAACCAAACCTGTAATGGCAAGGGAAATGGGCCCACCAAGCCTAGCTCAGACCAGGCATGACTACCAGAGCTGGAACTGGAGCTGGAACTGGGGCTGGGGCTGGGACCTGCCTCCTCTAAAGCAAGTGAGCACCTGAACAAGATGAGGGTCCATTAGCTGGGATGAAGGGGAGGAATGGCTGCTGGGTAGACAACCCCCCAGGTCCACCACATACTGCTACCTCCTCCTTCTTATCGGTTTCCTGGCAGAACCTCCCTGCTGCAGCGCTGTGGCTCTGCAAATGGGGTGCCTGACATAGTGCTTCCCTCAGCCCTAGGGGCCGCTGGGAGGGTCTTGATTGGCCAGAGTATCCATGCTGATTGCTTTTGCCATAGCAGTCCCTTCTGTTGACCACAGCGTGCAGTGCTATTTATAACATTTTCCTATGATTTTTAAGAGGGGGAGAAGGTTGGGAGCTCTGGCCTTGTGGTCTATAGTAACATTCCTCTATTAGAGTGTGAGTGCTTTTAAATTATTTGCTCCCTCCAATTTATTTTTTAAATTAATTAATTTCCAATTTATTTTTTAAACTGGAACGCACTTTAAAATCTGTGCTCTATCTAGCAAATCTGGGGTGTGGAGAGAGAACTGGAGTGGGGTAAGCATGGGAGCTGGTACTGTAGTCCCAGAGTGAAAGTGGGGTATATATTTGTACGGGTGGTGGTAGTAGTTAGCAGTCTTATTCCAGATTACTTTGAAGGTATTGCTGACAGATTTGGTTGTGGGATGAGGATGAGTCAAAAGATGAGTTAAGAATGACTGCAGGGGAATTCCCTGGAGGTCCAGGTCCAGTGGTTAGGGCTCCGCGCTGCAGGCAGCATGTTTGATCCCTGGTGGGGGGAAATAAGATCCCTCATGCCGTGTGGTGCGGAAGAGTGGAGGTGGAGAATGAAAAAGAATGACTCCAGAAAAAGAGTTGCCACTTTGAGTTGGGGAAGAATGCTTTTGGGGAAATATTCAATGTTAGAGTTGCCCCTTAGGCGCCCAGGTGGAGATGTTGAATAGGCAGTTGGATGTATGTGTCTGGAATTCAACGGAGAGGCTAGAGAATTGAGTCTGGGAGGCATCTAGAGTTGGCATCTGAAGTCACAAGACCGGAAGGGAGCACAAATGTAGTGAGAATGGACAGAGAAAAAGAGAGGGCTCGGTCTGAGTCCTGGGGCGACCTGGGAGTAAAGGGAGAAGAGGAGAAACCAGGAAAGGAGAAGAGAAGTAGGTAGGAAGCAACACAAGAGAGTGGTTTGCTGGACACCAGTTTAGAAAGTGTGTCAAGGAGGGAGTGATCTGTTGTGTCAAATGCTGCAGACAGGCTCAGTAAGATGAGGGCTGAGAGGTGACCGTGGGGATTAGCAAAACGGAGGTCACTGGTAGTGTTGACAAGGGCAGTTCCAGAGGAGAGGTGGAGAGTGAAAGCCTGACTGAACAGGCGGAAAGGAATGGGAAACAGTAGGCAAACCTCTCTAGAAGTTTTGCTGTAAAGTGAAGCAGAAACAGGAGGGTAGCTGGATGCTAAGTGGTCACTTTTTTTAATAGGAGAAATTAAAATATGTTGGTAAAGCGATGAGAATAATACAGAGGAAGGGGTGATGGAGAAAACAGGGAGAATTGCCCAGGGAATATCATAGAGAAAATGAGTGAGGACAGGATTCAGTGCACAATTGTAGGAATCGGTGTCAGTAGGCAGTTTACACATAGTCTCAGGAGGGAGGCATGTAGGTGGGTAAATGAAGTGATGTGAAATTATGAGTTTACTGAGCCCCGTGATTTTCCTCGTAAAATAGGAAGCAACGTCATTAGCCAAGAGTAAGGATGGAGAAGGAAGTGATGGAGGTTTGCTGAGAGGAGAAATATGACTTGAGTCTTTAGCATGATAGGCTGGGCCAGCTGAGGGGAATTTGAAACCACGATGAGAAGAATGTGGAGAGAGCTACTTTTTCCTTTGCGATATTCGTTCCTCTAGGCGCTCGGTAGTCTGCGTCCGTTTCCTTGGAGACCAAGACAGGCAAGAAAGCGGCAGGTCTCGCTGGGAAGTTTGAGTGGCCTTGGTTACCGCGCGACCCACGCTGAGACAAGGAAGTTGGAGAAGCCGAACAAATAGGCTGCCCAAAAAATCGGGGCCCCAAGGCCTCCGGACTCTTCTTCCATTCCCCCTAATGGCGCGCGTCTCTCCGAAGTACGTAAAAGGCGTATGGAGGGGCTGTGGACCGCGCATGCGTGCGCCCAACCTATCTCTGGCTGGGTCCTCGCCGGGTGTTGTCCCAAGGCCTTTTGACCCCGCCCTCCCCCCCCGCCCGCCCCATCTCCCGAGCCCCGCCTCTCCCTCGAGCTCTCCAGCCCCTGCTTGGCTTGTGTCCCTAGTCGGTGAGATTTCGGCTTCGAGACCCCATGCCAGTTTCACGTTTGCTGCTTGCATCCCATGGGTTGGGAATGATGGGAGTTCTTTCCCGCCCCAATCCAGACTCAACCACGCTGGGATTTGCTCCACAGTCCCCCAGTTCCAGGTTCTGGTGAGTCCAAGAGGGCTAGGGAAGGTATGTGGGTGGGGCTTGCTGACCCTGGGCTTGCAGTCAGCTTGCTCTCAACGCCCACGGCGGTGACTGTCCTGGGCAATAGAATCCAGAAACCTGAATTCCAGGCCCGGCTCTGTCATGCATTTGCTGTGGGACCCGGGGCGTGGCTCTGAAGCTCAGTTTTCTCACCACCTATCAGGATGTAAGAGTGTATCATGCTGCTCTCTTATTTATCTCTGATTGCTTTCCTGTTGGGTCTTTTCCATGCCTTCTGTTTCTCACAGTTCTTAGCACCTCCCAGCCGATGTGCTTAGTAAATTCTGGCTGGCTGCTGAAAAAGTGATAGCTAACACTTATGGAACACTTACCACATGCTTTACAAATATCATCTTTTGGAATTTTTGTACCAACCTGTGGAGGTAGCTTTTATAATTAGATCCAGTTTACAGATGAGAAAATTGAGGCTCAGAGAGGTAAATCCACTTGATCAAGGTTACAGATATCTGTAAGGGGGTAAGCTGGGATTTGAGCCCATGAGTTGTGTGACTGATTTGTGTTATGTCTGGTAGGATTATGTTCCATGGCAGCGGTCCAAGCAGAAAGCCAAGCCATCTACTCTGCCTCCGATCCCACGAGCTGTCAACACTCAGAAAAGCAAAATGAAGACCTGGACTACCATCCAGCCAGGTGGGCAGAGGCACTTGGGTGCTGGTGGAGTTGGGGACAGGATGGAGTGGATGCTCTTGGCCCTTGGTGACAACATTTATATCAGGGTAGGCTAACTGCTATAACAAACAATCCCCAGATTTCAAGTATTGATACAGAAACATATTTCTCATTTATGTTGAAGTACATTTGTGGATCTAGCGGGGAGGGAGTAATCTTTTTCATGTGATCATTCAGGGATCTAGGCTCCTTCACCTTGTGACAATGACATTTTTTAAGGCCTTGAAGTCCTCTGCTGGGTACTTTTGCATCCAGCAGAGAGAGAAGAGAGAGAGCAAGAGTATGGATGATCCTGTGGGTATTTCTTCTTCAGGGCATAGACTTGAAGTGACACACATCACTTCTACTCATATTCCAGTGTCCATAACTCAGTCACATGCCTACCCTTAACCACAAGGGAAGATGGGAAATATAGTCCAGCTATGTGTCCAGGAGGAAAAGAAAACAGGGTTTGGTGAACTTGGGATAATCTCTGCCACATCACTGTCATGCCTTCCAGGGGAGTTCTGAGGCCTTGGCTCAGGCAGACACGGGTTCAGACCTTGGCTCTCCCATCTGCTCTCTTGGGAAAGTGAGAAAGATGAATGAGTTTTTGTTTTCTCATTTGTAAAATGAGGACACTAATCTTTACCTGATAGGATTGTTGTGAGAATTAAATGAGAAGATCTGTGTAAAGCATTGTTATTCAGACCCAACACTCCTTTTAATGACAAATATTACAAATATTTTGTAATATTCCTTTAGTATCCTGAAATAAACTTCATAGATAATATAACCTACCTACATATATAATTTTTAAATATTAATTTAATACCATAACTGTAAAGGAAATGGAAAGTTATTTATAGTTAAATAAAGTATATTTCAGTATGTAAATGCTCAGGATGGAGTCCGTTAGAAGACATTAGAAAGTCTTCAGAAGCTTACTCATAGATGTGGAGTCATGGTGAACATAACAGTTGCAAATGCAGAGTGACACACGGTGGGAAATCAGGGACTCAAAATACCAAGAGGGATTTTTCATTGCAACTGTGATTTCCAAAGTGGTGCCCATGTCTTGGTAAAGTTCTAAACAAAAAGAGCACAATCTTCCCTTGATTGTAGCTGCTTTCTTGGAAAATTCAGCATTATAGTAAAACCCTGAAAAATATTCTTTGTGGCTATATGTAAAACAGAGTCAGGTTCTGGGATCGGATTGTTATAAATAGGGGTTTTACCTATGTCATATCTAGTAGGACTTAGGAGAGTTATGCAGGACAGGAGAATTCTATGTTCTATGGGGTTGTCCTGTTCTGGGGGATATCTTGTGTCCCTGGCCCCCACCTATAGATGCCACTTGGGCCCCCAATGAGAACCCATAGATCCCCCCCCGCCAATATATCTAAAACACCCCTGTCGAGAGTCATTGATATAAAGTGATGAGCACAAGAGCTGGTGGTAGTTTTTTTTTTTTTGCTGTACGCAGGCCTCTCACTGTTGCGGCCTCTCCCGTTGCAGAGCACAGGCTCCGGACGCGCAGGCTCAGCGGCCATGGCTCACGGGCCCAGCCGCTCCGCGGCATGTGGGATCTTCCTGGACCAGGGCCCGAACCCGTGTCCCCTACGTCGGCAGGCGGATTCTCAACCACTGTGCCACCAGGGAAGCCCAAGACCTGGTGGTAGTGACAGAATTTTTGTCTTTGGTCCTAGACCCTATTCAAACAGCATCTACAAGGAAACTCTTGCCCTTTTCTTTCACTGGGGAAGCGGTGAGGTATGTAACAGACACACCCACAAACAGAACAAGAGCAGTTACCGTATACCAAGCACTTACTATGTGCTAGATACTGTTCTCAACACTTTACACCTGTCACTTCATTTAATCTTCCCAACAACCCCATGAGGTGAGTGCTGTTGTTATCACCTCCTCTTACAGATGAGGAACCTGAGGCACAGACAGGTGTAACTCCCAAGGTCACAGGTAGGATGGGCACATCCAGACTGTGATATTTGGCAGTTTGGCTCCAGGACCCACAGTCAACCACTGGAGAAATGAAGTAAAAAATAAATGTAAAATGTAAAACAGTAAAACTTTTAGAAAAAAACATAGGAGAGAAAAATCTTTGGGACTGATGGCCAAGTGAAGAGTTCTTTGACTTTACACAAACAGCTGGATCCATAAAAGAAAAATGAAATAAATGGACAAGTTGGACTTCATCAAAATTTAAGACTTTTGTTCTTTGAAAGACTCTGTTAAGAGTATGAAAAGACAAGCTACAGACTTGGAGAAAATGTTTGCAAACCACATATCTGACAAAGGACTGCTTTGTAGAATATATTGGGAACCATCAAAACTCACTAGAAAAACAATTCAGTTAGAAAATGGGCAAAAGACATGAAGAGGCATTTCACCCAAAGAGGAAATACACATGGTAAATAAGCACGTGAAAAGATGTTCAACATCATTATCCATTAGGGCTATGCAAATTAAACCACAATGAGGTGTCACTGCACACCTATCAGAATGGGTAAAATGGAACACCAAATGTTGGCAACGAGGAGAAACTGGGTCATGCATACATTGCTTGTGGGTATGTGAAATGGAGCTGCCATTCTGGAAAAGAATATGGCAGTTTCCTATGAAACTAAACACACATTTCCCATAATGATCCAACAATTGCACTCTTGGGCATTTGTTCCAGAGACGTGAAACTTATGGTCACAAAAAAACCAGTGCAAGAGCATATCCAAAAGGTAAAATACCTTAGGTAGGAATAAACCTACCTAAGGAGACAAAAGACCTGTATGCAGAAAACTATAAGACACTGATGAAAGAAATTAAAGATGATACAAACAGATGGAGGGATATACCATGTTCTTGGATTGGAAGAATCAACATTGTGAAAATGACTATACTACCCAAAGCAATCTACAGATTCAATGCAATCCTTATCAAACTACCACTGGCATTTTTCACAGAACTAGAACAAAAAATTCCACAATTTGGATGGAAACACAAAAGACCCTGAATAGTAAAGCAATCTTAAGAAAGAAAAATGGAGTTGGAGGAATCAGGCTCCTTGACTTCAGACTATACTACAAAGCTACAGTAATCAAGACAGTATGGTACTGGCACAAAAACAGAAATATAGATCAATGGAACAGGATAGAAAGCCCAGAGATAAACCCACGCACATATGGTCACCTTATCTTTGGTAAAGGAGGCAAGAATATACAGCGGAGAAAAGACAGCCTCTTCAATAAGTGGTGCTGGGAAAACTGGACAGCTACATGTAAAAGAATGAAATTAGAACACTCCCTAACACCATACACAAAATAAACTCAAAATGGATTAAAGACCTAAATATAAGGCCAGACACTATAAAACTCTTAGAGGAAAACATAGGCAGAACACTCTATGACATACATCACAGCAAGATCCTTTTTGACCCACCTTCTGAAATGGAAATAAAAACAAAAATAAACACATGGGACCTAATGAAACTTAAAGGCTTTTGCACAGCAAAGGAAACCATAAACAAGATGAAAAGACGTCCCTCTGAATGGGAGAAAATATTTGCAAATGAAGCAACTGACAAAGGATTAATCTCCAAAATTTACAAGCAGCTTATGCAGCTCAATATCAAAAAAACCAACAACCCAATACAAAAATGGGCAGAAGACCTAAACAGACATTTCTCCAAAGAAGATATACAGATTGCTAACAAACACATGAAAGGATGCTCAACATCACTAATCATTAGAGAAATGCAAATCAAAACTACAATGAGGCATCACCTCACACCAGTCAGAATGGCCATCATCAAAAAATCTACAAACAATAAATGCTGGAGAAGGTGTGGAGAAAAGGGAACCCTCTTGCACTGTTGGGGGAAATGTAAATTGATACAGCCACTATGGAGAACAGTATGGAGGTTCCTTAAAAAACTAAAAATAGAACTACCATGCAGCCCAGCAATCCCACTACTGAGCATATACCCTGAGAAAACCATAATTCAAAGAGTCATGTACCACAATGTTCATTACAGCTCTATTTACAATAGCCAGGACATGGAAGCAACCTAAGTGTCCATCGACAGATGAATGGATAAAGAATATGTGGCACATATATACAATGGAATATTACTCAGCCATAAAAAGAAACAAAATTGAGTTATTTGTAGTGAGGTGGATGGACCTAGAGTCTGTCATACAAAGTGAAGTAAGTCAGAAAGAGAAAAACAAAGACTGTATGGTAACACATATATATGGAATCTATAAAAAAATAAAGGTTCTGAAAAACCTAGGGGCAGGACAGGAATAAAGATGCAGATGTAGAAAATGGACTTGACACTGGGAGGGGGAAGGGTAAGCTGGGACAAAAAGAGAGTGGCATGGACATATGTACACTACCAAATGTAAAATACATAGCTAGTGGGAAGCAGCCACATTAGCACAGGGAGAGCAGCTTGGTGCTTTGTTACCACCTAGAAGGGTGGGTTAGGGAGGGTGGGAGGGAGACGCAAGAGGGAGGAGATATGGGGATATATGTATATGTATAGCTGATTCACTTTGTTATACAGCAGAAACTAACACACCATTGTAAAGCAATTATACTCCAATAAAGATGTTTAAAAAAAAAAAGACGATGTGGTGTGTATACACACACAGACGCACACACACACACACACACGCACACACAGGAATACTACACAGCCATAAAAAAGAATGAAATAATGCCATTTGCAGCAACATGGATGGACCTAGAGATTACCATACTAAGTGAAGTGAATCAGAAAGACAAATATCGTATGATATCATTTATATGTGGAACCTAAAATATGATACAAATGAACTTATTTACAAAACAGAAACAGACTCACAGACATAGAAAACAAACTTATGGTTACCAAAGGGGAAAGGTGGGTGTAGAGATAAATTAGAAGTTTGGGATTAGCAGATACAAACTAGTATATATAAAATAGATAAACAACGAGGTCCTACTGTATACCATAGGGAATTATATTCAATATCTTGTAATAAACTATAATGGAAAAGAATATGAAAAGTATATATATATATATATATATATATATATATAAATAACTGAATCACTTTGCTGTACACCAGAAACTAAGACAACTTGTAAATCAACTGTACTTCAATTTTAAAAAGTGAAAAAAAAAAAAAAGTGCATGAAAGTTCCAGAGTAGCCTTATTCATAATACCCCCAAACTGGAAACAATCCAGATGTCCTTTAATGAGTGAGTAGTTAAACAAACTATGATGGGCTTCCCTGGTGGCGCAGTGGTTGGGAGGCCGCCTGCCGATGCAGGGTACACGGGTTCGTGCCCCGGTTTGGGAGGATCCCGCATGCCGCGGAGCGGCTGGGCCCGTGAGTCATGGCCGCTGACCCTGCGCGTCCGGAGCCTGTGCTCTGCAACGGGAGAGGCCGCAGCAGTGAGAGGCCCGCGTACCGCAAAAAACCCCCAAAAAACAACAACAACAAAAAACAAACGATGGTACATCCATTCCATAGCATGTAGTACTGTTCAGCAAGAAGAAGGAAAGAACTTTTGATACATTCACTAACTTGGATGAATCTCCAGAGAATTATGCTGAGTGAAAAAAGCCTATCTCAGAAGTGACATACTGTATGATTCCATTTGTATAGCCATCTGGGAATGACAGAATTTGTAGAAATGGAGAACAGATTAGTGATTGACATAGGTAGGGGGAGCATGGAAGGGGAGGAAGTGGGTGTGGCAATAAAAGGCAGCATAAGAGATCCTTGTGGTTGTGGAAATGTTCTGTCTTTCAGTGTTCTGGTTGTGATATCGTACTTAGTTTTGCAAGATGTTACGGTCGGGAAAAATTGGGTTAAGGGAACATAGGGTTTCTCTTCATTATTTCTTAAGTAAATGTAATCTGAATTTATTTAAAAATAAAAAGTTTAATTACAAAAATAATAAATCAGGGCTACCACCATTAATGAAAAGAAATACTCCTTATTAAAGCAATAAATCTTGCTAAGTATTTAAGTTCAGCTTACAAATGTTATAATTTTTAAAAACCCTTGTGAAGGGGGTTTTGGAAGTTGGTTAATTCTCCTAAATCGTTTAAGCCACCTTTAAAATTTAATATATTCACTTTCATTTTCAAAGAGTTCACTTGTTCTGATGAACAAAACCATTGGGTATTTAATGTAATTCTTGTATATCTAATAAATAAACTTCTAAATATGGATAATCTTATGTTCATTTAAAAATTGTAATTTATACACATTTAATAAGAGTGTATTAAACCTTTCAACTCAAAACAAATCTAAATCAAAATCTCACTTACACATTTTAAATTAGAACCACAAAATTAATCTATTAATCACTCCATCTCTCAAACAATACAATTCAATACCAGATACATACAGATAATTCATAACTTTAACACAAAATTACTCTAATTTTACTTTGTCACTTCAACACTTAATACTAAATTAAGGATATTGATCCATAAAAGAAATAATATTTTTCAAAAATGAACTGGGTTGCACCTCCAACAGAGATGTTGGCGGGGGCTGACAAGGCAGCAGTAGTGTTTGTGATCATCTGTGTGATTTGCCTCATAACTGCGCAGGATGCGTAGAGAGGAGGCAGGCATTCTCAGAACATGCCCTCCTAATGCCTTCTTCCGATCTGAATTATTTTCGTGTACTTCTCATCCGGCAGGACCACAGCTTTTACAGGTATTCCAGAGACAGCTGGTTAGCATTTTGCACGGCTCCTGTGCCTTTATCTGATGCTGTGGTCCTGATCCCAATTCTCAGGTCATTGGTAATAACAGTGACAGCTAGTAATTTATATTTAGCACTGAATATGGGTTAGGCACTATTCCAAATACTTTATAGTAACTTCTTTTTTAATTTCACTACAACTCTGTGAGGTAGGCATGATGATTATTTCTGTTTTACAGATGGGAAAGCTGAGGGACAGAGAGGTCATGTGACCTACCTAAGGTCATATAGCTAGTAGAAGGCAGAATTCAGATTCAAACCCAGGCTGTCTGCTTCATTAGTTGTTGCTATTAACCCCTACCCCTTCTGAGCTTGCCACCGGCCAGCTTGGTGGGAGAGATTGGGGATGTCTGGCCATCTCCTGCTGCTACCCCTCTCCTCCCCTCTGTTCAACCCCACCGTCACTGTGGTATGTGGAAGTCTCCTGGGCTTCTCTGTCCGTTATAACAAGGCTCAGAGTGGGGCCTGGGAGCTAACTGATGGATGTGAGCTTCATTCCTCAGTCTCACTGTCGTACATTATAAGGACATGAGTGGATGGCATTGGGGTTTCTCATGGCTGGTGCCTTCTCTGGGACCTGACCCCAGACCTGCCTCTACCCTCACACTCTCTCTGTCCTTTCCTATACCCTAGGGTTGCAATCCAAGCCCACCTTGTGGATGACAAGTCAGCCGAGGAATCCACTAGAACTGCGCAGAGGAAAGTTGGACTCGGGGAAGACACAGACCAAAATCCGACTAGTGAGAGTATGACGAGCATCTTTCCGCAGGCACCAGGGCCCAGGGCAGGGGGCGGGGGATGGTGATAGCAAACACGCACTGAGCACTTCATGGGTGCCCGACTTGACTCCTCATCCCCACAGCAACCCCGTGGGCACGCTTATCATCATCCCTCTTCTACAGATGGGGAAACCGAGGTGCAGGGAGATGACACAGACCACGCAGCTAGAAAATGCAGTACCAGGGGTCAAAGCCAGTTAGGCAAACAGTAGTTTGCCTTTGTTTTTGTATTTTTTGGCCGCGCTGCAAGGCATGTGGGATCTTAGTTCCCTGACCAGGGATCGAACCTGCGCCCCCTGCATTGGGAGCACAGAGTCTTTTTTTGGGAGCACAGAGTCTTAACCACTGGACCACTAGGGAAGTCCCTTGCTTTTGTGTTTAAGACTCAGGAAAATGATCAGAATCACTTTTTTTTTTAACATTAATGACTGCAATGCATTAAAACATGAAATATATGAACATCTATGAAAGAACAAATAAAACCAACTCGCTGTTCACCTTTGGAGGATCCCAGGGAAACAAATCACTAATTTTTTTTTTTTTTGACTTAAAACAATAGAAATTTATTGTCTCACAGTTCTGGAGGCCAGAAGTCCAAGATCAATGTGTTGGCAGGACTGTGCTCCCTTTGAGCAGAATCACTTTTTATTTTACTGCATTAGGAACACAATTTAGTGGCTTGTTCCTTTTAAAATTTCCAGTAAATTAGCCTTTTACGGAATACAGTGCATCTTAAAGAAAGGCTTAGGAGCTTACTATTAAAAATTTTCACATCAACTAATAGAACTTTTGATAATTGATTTTCTTACCATCCATTGTTTTTTTATGGCTTCTGAACATTGTTTCAAAGTATTTGAAATGACTAGAAGAAGAGGGGGCTTTTGTGTCCATAGGAGAAAGTAAAATACCAAATACTATAAATACTACAAAATACTATAGAAGAATTCTTAACTTCTTCAGGAAAGTTTTTAATATGAGTCAATGAACAAGGACTGTATATAAAGAAATAGGGAAAAATGTATTTGCCTTGAAACCTTTTTTTTCCTTTAACCTTCAATTTTGCAAAAATGGTTTAGAGGCAGCCCTGCATTTGTAAAGTAGGAACTCATATTTCTGATGTTATTTTTTTAATTTTTATTTTTTTGTGGTATGTGGGCCTCTCACTGTTGTGGCCTCTCCCATTGTGGAGCACAGGCTCCGGACGTGCAGGCTCAGCAGGCCCAGCCGCTCCGCGGCATGTGGGATCTTCCCGGACCGGGTCACGAACCCGTGTCCCCTGCATTGGCAGGCGGACCCTCAACCACTGTGCCACCAGGGAAGCCCTCTGATGTTATTTTTATCCTGACTTTAGAAGGGTTTATGTGTTTTTGTCTGAAAGATGAACTTGGACAATTGGCTCTAAAAGTTGTGCTCCTAACCAGTTCCTAATACTGTCTCTTGTAATCATTCATTTGTTTAGTCAACAAATATTTGAGCACCTACTATGTGCCAGACCCTGTTCTAGGTGTGGGGATTCACCAGTGATGTGGACTCTGACCTTAGGGAGCTCACATTCTACTCGGGGAGACAGACAATAAGTAAGACAGATAAAAATGTAATATGTGTAGTGAGGGTTAAGAGCTATGAAGAAGTGTAAAATAAGGTTAGGGGCTTAAGAGGCACAGAGGATGGAGTGGCCATGACTGTTTTAGGAGGGTGGTCAGGGAAGGCTGCTAAGGTGGTGACATCTGAGGGGGAATGTTCCAGGCCAAGAAGCTGGAAGTGCAAAGGCCCTGAGGTTGGTGTGAGGTCAGTGATGGGCCAGGTGATGAGGAAGAAAGATGGTGGGCTGTGGGGGGAAGGAGATAGCTTGTATACAGCCCTGTAGTCCATGATTAGGCTTTGTGTTTGCATAGAGTAAGGCAGGAAGACCCTGGAGGATTCTGAGTAGAGTGGGGAAATGATCTGACTTAGATTTTCACGGGAGTCCTTGGGCTGCTGCTGCTGTGTGCAGAACGGGCTGTGGGGACAAGGGGGAAACAGAGCAAGGGAGTAGAAATGACTCAGTTGGTTTGTTCTTGGATATGAAGTAGGATCCTGACTCTGCCCCTCAGCCTTAGGACAGTCACTTACTCGATCAACAACTCCTGAGAGAATGCCTACGATATGCCAGGCACCAAGCCGGGTGTTGGGGACACAGCTGTGAACATGGCCCTTAGAATCTGTGCTATGATGGAGCTTATACTTTAGTGGGGAGACACATGATAAATGAATTTAAACCCCCAAAGAATTGTACTCATCAGTTTATTCAACCCATACTTGTGGAGCTCCAGGCACTGTCCTGTGTGCTGGAGATACATACAGCTGTGACAAAACAACCAGAGCCCCTGCCCTCCTGGCTGTAAAATTCTAGTTGAGTAGACAGACACGAAACAAGATAATAAGAAAAACATGTTATGTTTGGTAGCGATGAGTCCTAGGAGAAAAATAAATTGGGAAAAGGGGAGACATAATTACAAACTGTAATTATGTAATTACAAATTGGGTAAGGGTCAGGACGGCACAAAGTAGGGTTTCTACCCTAGAGCTGGTGGTCAGCGAAGATCCATTTCTAGAGCAGAGGTCATTAATTGTACACTTTATCAGAATCACCTGGGAGTGGGGCTCAGTGGGCCCGAGACTCAAGAGACTGGCATTTTTCACAAGATGCTTCTGGTCCCCGTGGGCCATATTTGGAGATGTTTTGGTCTGGAGATGTGAAGGCAAGATGGTGGAGTGGCTAGGAGCCCAGACTTCAAGGACAACGGCTCTGCGATGGGTGACCTTGGGTAAGGTACTGCATCTCTCTGACCCTCAAGTTCTGCTTCTCTAAAGTGGGGATAATAATAGTCCCAAGTAGGCTTCTCTGGTGGCGCAGTGGTTGAGAGTCCATCTGCCGATGCAGGGGACACGGGTTTGTGCCCTGGTCTGGGAAGATCCCACATGCCGCGGAGCGGCTGGGTCCGTGAGCCATGGCCACCGAGCCTGCGCGTCCGGAGCCTGTGCTCCACAACGGGAGAGGCCACAAGAGTGAGAGGCCCGCGTACCGCAAAAAAAAAACAAAAAGCAAAGCCAAAAATAATAGTCCCAAGTGAGGTAGTGCATGGGAAGTGCTTAGCATACTTTAGAGTTCATAATAAGTACTCTGTGCATTTGCACTATTACTCATTATTGCGTGAGGAATATGGCAGCTGAGGGCTAGGAAGAGGTAGTTTCTAGCAAAGGACAGAGAAATGAAGAACAGAAGGAATAAAGCAGAGAGCACATAGCCTGGCAGAGGCGGAGGGTGAGAACCGGTGAGAATGGTGACTCGTCACTGAGTGTGCGAGACGCGCCACTAAGCGGCTTGACTGTGAATATTACCTCATCTGTTTTTTATAGCAGCAGCTCTCTGAAGCCGGCATTAGTTTCCTAACATACGGAATGAGTAGAGCAGGGTTCTGGGAGGCTAACTAACGTGCCCAGGTTCCCTTAGGTGGGAAGTGGCAGAGCTGGCATTTGAACCAAGGTGTGTCGAGGCCTAACATCCAAGCCTTGATCACTGTGAGGTTCAGCCCGCCTTGCAGCCTTAGGCCCACTCAGCTCCTCATCTTAATGTAGTGGAAAGATAGACATTGGGAGTCGGAAGTCTGCCTTTCGAGTTCCGGTGCCACTACTTCCTGTTTGTGCAACTTTGGGGCAGTCATGTAACCCGCCTGAACATCCATCCACCTATGAGTAAAATAGAGCTGGGGAACAGAGGGTTGTTGGAGGGTAAGCTGATACCCTGAGCCGCCTGCTGAGTGAGGCACCCTCAGCGATTGTTCTTGTTGTTATTATTATTGTAGGTTATGTGTACCTGCTTGGGGGCCCTTAGGCAAGTCCCTTAATCCCTTAGAGGCTCCTTCTTTTCCCAGGGGCTGTTGTATGAAACAGTCCTCACTCAGCTCAGCTGCCTGACGAGAAATGGTAGCGATTATCATCCACTCTGCCTCTCCTGCTTCTTCTCCAGACAAGGCCCATAACCTCGGCCATCTTCTTTCCTACTTGGGCGTTTTCTATTATTGCTAGTACTATATAGTTCATCGATTCTAAGAAGCCATTGATAATAAGGTGTACCTTTATCTTAATTACCCACTAATAAAATATTTGTCAATTAGACTGTAACACGCCACCAACTGTAAGATATATCCCCACCTCAGAGTGTAAAATTATGGGAAAATGGGTGTTTCAGCAAGGATGAAATAATTCAAGGTGCTCTGACCCGCAGACAATGGGGAACCGCCGCCCAGCTCGGGTGGCATTTACCAGTCGAGGCCACGAGGGGGCGGATTGCGGCGGGAGGGAAGTGGTCCCTAGGCTCCCGGAGGTTCCGGCCAGCTCCGCGTATCACGAAACACTGCCCCCTTTCCCTGTTCCTCCGCTTGCAGACGATGCTCAGGAACCGGCGAACCGCGCACCAGGAGCTCTGCAACCACGAGGACTTCCTCACCAAGCTCTGTGGGGAACTGATCAAGACCATCCAGGACACGGACGACAGCTCGGCCCTGAAAGTGCGGGTGATGCTGCAGCAGGAGGACGTCTTCACGGTGAGCCCCCACCGTGGCCCCGCAGCCCTGCCTCTGCCCTGCGTTGCGGTCCAGCCCGCGACGCCGCCCTCCTGAGCGCTTGGGCGCCCTCTCCTGCATTCTCCCGGCCTCTCCCGGCCCATTGCGCAAGCTGCTTCCTCCATGTGGAGGATACATCTCTTACACACTCCGGCCCCCACCCCCACCCCCCGCCCACCTACCTGGGCTTTGGAATCAGACTGGGGGTGGCGGGGGGTGGGGACTCATCCCCATCAGCACTTATTAGCTGGAAGAGTTTGGGTTAACCTCTGAGCCCTGTAAAACTGGGGCACAACTGCACCCACCCTGAAGAGGAGTTGTGCCTGGCACACAGTATGTGTGGGGTTGGGTTTGGAGACTCCTCTGAGGAAGTGCTGAGTCCTCTGACAGTCCGTGCTTTGGCTGCACCAGTGGAGGCTTGGGGTGAGCTGACCCCCCTCCCCGCCCCCCACTCCCACAGACCATCGCTGACATCTTGGAGTACTCAAACAAGAAGAAGCTGCACCAGATGAAGTGTGAGCTTCAGGAATGGGAGGAGAAGGAGGAATCCAGGATACACAGTAAGAATCCCTGGGGCTGACTCCCTGACCCTCGCCTGGCCCTCTGTGGAGGTCAGCCGCCGGGCATTCCCCTTGCACCTCCCTTTCGGAAACCATCAGGCCCATCACCTCCCTTCTGCTAAGATGCACAGCTGACAGCTTACTCATCAAGCACTTAGCGCTTGCAGGCCCTACGTGCTTTGTTTTTACGGGCTCACTCTCCGTCATTCCGACTACCTGTAAGGCAGGGAAGTTTTCCTTTTCTCCCATTTTACAGATGAGGCAACTGAGGGTAAGGGAAATGAAGGTTATACAGCTAGGAGCCAGCATCCAATCCCAGCCTCCCTCTCTCTTGCCAGCGTCCCTCTGGGAGTCAGTGGCTGGAATAGGTCACTGGCCACAGACCTGCTGAGCCTGTGGTTTCTTTCCCCTGAGCAGACTAGAAGCCTTCTGAGGGGAGGGGCAGTGTGTCAGGCAGCCTCAGACGCTGGGGATCCCCTCCATGGAGGGTGGCAGGATAGACTGTCTTAATCCTGCCCTGGTCATGTCTTGGGAGCCAGTGTTGCCCCATTTCACTGGGCTCATTGCCTTGGGAGCGTGTGTGTGAGGGGACTGAGGTCCAGAGAGGGAGGGTCTTGGTGAGGGTCATGCAGTGGCATTGGCAGAGCCGGGATCTTGCACTGGGATAGTTTCTTTCCTACCCGGTACTGCCTCTTCTCCTGTAAAGGTAAAGAGCTCTCTAGGGGCTTAACTGTCCACCACCTCCCAGCCTTGTGTGACCTTGCTTCAGCCCAGACCCCAATTCATTGGTCAAGGAGAGCTTTGCCTCTTGGGTCTCCCCAGGGGGGTTCTTGAGGGAGGATCCTGCCTTCTGTCCCTCCTGATCTCTTCAGACCTGGAGCAGCAGGTGGAACAGCTGGATGCCAAGATCGAGAAGGTCCACAAGAAAGTGAGCTTCATGAGCACTTACATGGACCGTGAGTATCCCATCAAGTCGGTCCAGGTTGCCAACCTTGTGCGCCAGCTGCAGCAGGTGAAGGACAGCCAGCAGGTAGGTGAGCCCATGGCCTTGCCTCGCCAGACCATGTGGGAGGCAGGGCTGGTGGCCAACACCCTCCTGCTGACCCCCAGGATGAGCTGGATGACCTCAGTGAGATGTGCAGAATGGTCCTGGCATCTATGTCCAACCAGATTCAGAATAAGAAAAAAAACCTACTGAGGTCTCTGGTGGTGGTGAGTAGCCAGCCACTGTGGCAGGTATCCAGGTCCTGCCCCCAGCCCTGCTTTTTTCCCTGTCCTCTGCCTCCAGGCCCCCCCCACACCCACCATGCTACCCAGTGCATGGTCGCCCCTGGGGCCAGACTTGGGAGCCAGACCTCTCCTTCCTCTGCAGAAAATCCAGCGTGCTCATCAGGAAACGCTCCTGCAGAAGACTTGGAATAGCCAGCTCATACTGAAATACATGGACAAGTTCCGAGAAGTGAGTGGGCAGCAAAGGTGGTCGTCACCCCTGTGCTAGAGCAGGAGGGTGGGTGGTCCCCAGGACCTGTGGGAGCCAGGCTTGTCCTGATGTGGCGCTCATGAGGTCTCTGACTCTGGTGTTAGCCTTCCTCCTTGGCAGTGCCATTAATGCCACTTGTCATTCATCTGAGAAGGGGATTTGTGCTGGCCTAGGGTTTGCCTCATTAACCAACACCGCCAGCCATGACCCAGCAGCACCATCGCCAAGCATCACCACATGACCATCACTTTAATTTCACTACCCAGCCCCGGTCTCCACCTCTTTAATTCTTGTCATTGACCGTCACTCATGACCAGTGTTAATGAAATCCACCATCACCACCCTCTCGCGGTAATTTTCGTGATCTTGCACCTTCATCAGTTATCCGAGTGAATGGCCTTCATCACCTCCACCAGCCCCCGTTAATTCTCACTGTCAAGCGCTGCCACCCATTTGCAACCTGTCTCCCTTCTCCACGATCCCCTCACCCTTAACCGGAACCATCAAACATCGTCGGTAACTTGTGAGCCAGCCCTGCCCTGCACAGCGAGGACCCCCGTCTGGAGTCCGGAAGTCCCAGTGACAAAAGTGACAAAGCCCAGGCCATTTCTGTAGATGAATGAGCAGTAATCCTTGTTCATTTTGCCCTTTTCTCCCTTTGGTTGGGGAATGTTTCGTTTCTCACTTTCCCCTGCTCTCCTCAGCTTATAGACCATTTTGAGGAGGAAATACCCGTATTAAGGGCTGAGGTGGAGCAGCTCCAGTTTCAGATCTGGGAACCCCGAGAGATTGTGTTTGCGGACGTTCTGCTTCGGAGATCCAAGTACGTGATCCTTGTGTAGCTACCTCTTAAACTAGCCACGCTCTGGACTCGAAGAAGCTCTCTGTTCTCGGGGAAGGCAGCCTGGTGGAGGAGGCAGGAGGCTGGGTTTTTGCCTTGGCTTTGCCCCTGACTGTGTAGCAGATGTGACCTTTCCCATCTTTGGGCCTTAGTGTCCCATCTCTGCACAGCAGGCTGAGTTAGGTAATCTCTCTGGACCCTTCCAATTCCACATTCCACGTTTCAACCAAGTGGGTCCGCCCCTAAGCTCCTGGGGTGTTCAGGAAGACAGTGTTGAGTGGGGTGGTCGGCTCCAGAGACGAATGGCCTGGAAGGCACACTGCAGGGAAAGAAGGGTGTTCTCTCCGTGGGGCAGAATTCTGGGCCCCAAAGGAAGGACTTCCCTCCTTCCAAAACCAGTTCGCTGCCTGCCCTCCCTTGGGTCAGGCCCTCTGGGTCTGAGGGTGAGGATCCTACCAGGCCACGCCTCTCTATGTGGGGCAGATCTTACCATCTGCAAATTATTTTTCTTCTTCTTATCTTCTATGTCTATCTCCTTCTCTTCCTCTCCCCTTCTTTCCTCCTCCTCTACCTCCTATTCTTCATTCTCCTCTTATTTTCCTTAAAAAGTACTGTCAGATTTATGATGTGCCTATGGAGTGCCAGGCACTGTGAGTGCCAGTAACCCTGGGCTCTAACACCATGGAGCCAAGGAGGGGACCAGACATTAATCGATAACGAGCCACTGACAAAGGTCCCGCGGCAACTGACCCCAGAGCTGCTGAAGCAGAGGCATAGATGTGGCGCTGGCAGAGCGTAGCCCGGACAGAGAGGAGTCTGGAGGGTCAAGAGAGGTTTCCCTGAGAATGTGACAGTTTAAACCAGGGTCTGAAGGATGATGCATAGAAGTTCACTGGGCAAAAGGGGCTGAAGGAGGAAACTGGAGGAAGAACATTTCCAGGTGGTGGTGCTGGCGTCTTGGGGGTGTGGTGAGTAGGCACCGTCGTCCTTATCTGAGCTCTGAACACATTGAAATAAGACTGAAAGGAGCAAGGCGGACATGGGCCAGACGCTCACTTTTATTCTGATGAAGCTGATTTTAGAGAAGGTAGCAACAGCTTCTACCTCCAGATATCTTGGCTTCTGAATAGTGAACCCAGAATTGGGCAAGTCGAGCTCCTTGGTCAGCTGTGTTGGAGCAGAGGAGAGTGTCGTCCTTGCAGGCTGCTCGTGGCTGAGAGGCAACAGGGCACCCATGCCCCATCCTATTCTCCAGACTCACTGGTCAGGTCGTTGTACCCCTTTCCGGGGGCAGAGTGAGTAAAGTGAGGCCAGGAGCAGTATGGCTGCTGCTGCCCCTCCACGGGCAGGGAGACACCGGGAATGGGAAGACGCTTTCTCCTCCTAAAACGTGGGAGGGGCGCATCCCTAGGCAGAGCTTCTCCAACCAGAACGTGCACAGGAATCCCCTAGAGATCTTGTTACAGAGCAGATGCTGAACCGGTAGGTCTGGAGTGGGGCTAAGGAGTCAGCATTTCTAAGAAGCTCCTGGGTGAGGCTGACGCTGCCAGTCCCTGGGTCACAAGCGGAGCAGTGAGGCTGTGGAGCATGTGTGGTAGGAGGGAACTTGATGTTTACCAGGGGCTGAATGAGGCTGGAATGCAGAGTGGTGGGGAGAGTAACGGGGAGGAAGCAGGACAGCTCAGCCCCTAGGAACCTCCACGCAGGGCCCGGTAGACCGAGGGAAGAGTTTGGTACTTGACCCTGAAAGCAAAGAAATTGTAAGCTGAGTGGTGACATCAGATTTGCATTCCAAGAAGAGTTACTTTGAAAAGAGGGTGGAGGAGATATTGGAGAGGGGCCAGAGGAGGTGCTGGGAGTCTGGTTGGCAATCGTGGGGGGGGGGGGGGGTTGGGGAGTGGCTTGGCCAGGGTGGGTGGCAGAAGAGAGAGGAGAGATGGTTGGAGTGGAGAAGAATTGAAGAAGGTAAACCCGTAGGTCTTGGTGATATTTGGATGTGGGAAGTCAAGGACAGGGAGGTGTCAAGAATGACCCCTGGGTTTCTGGCTTTTGTCACAGGGTGGGTAGTGGTACCAGATCCAGAGAGAGGGAAGGCTGGGGCCGGGGGGGTGAAGGATGCTTACGCAGGTCAGTCTGCAGTTGACTGGGACACTGAGTTTAATTTACAGAGACCTCAGCGTGGAGCTGTCAGGTAGGCAGTTGGGGGTACGAGTGTAGATATCAGAAGACAGATACTGACTGGAGATGGAAATTTGGGCATTGCCAGTACAGAGATGCATTTTTTTTTTTTACTATTATTTTGAACAATTTCAAATATACAGAAAAGTCCAGAGAGTATTATGATGAATACGCAGTTACCCATCTAGATTTAGGAATAGTTATATTTTTGCCATATTGGCTTCATCTTCATTTCTTCCTTGTTCTTTCTTCTGAAATGTTGTAAATTGCAGACATCCTGACATTTCATGTCTAAATCCTTCAGCGTGCGTCAGTATGTACCATGAGAGTGGGTGAGAGAACTGGGAGGGAGAATGTAATCCTGGAGCCTTGGAAATGTTCGTGCTGGTCACTGAGATGGGAAGATAGTGCAGATGGGAACCCACTGCTCTTGCTACTGTTACGGAAAGAATAATGCCTGTCATTTACTGAGCACTTATTACATGCTGGCCTGGTCTCATTTAATCTTCCCATCAGTGACTGAAGGTGGACCCTCCCCCCTTGACAGATGAGGAAACGAGGCTCGCCTGGGGTCTGTCGCATAGTGAGTGCTTGTTACATAGGTGCCCAGTGATGTCCAGAGGCTCAGAGGGGAGAAGCAGTGTGCTCAAGGTGACACAGAGTTAGGCTTCCAAACCAGTCATCCTGACTCCAGAGAGAGCGCTCGTCCTGAGGGGCCCCAGCACTTCAGAGCTGAGCTCTTGTTTCCTCTTGGCCTCAGAGCTCTGTGGGGCAACATGAGTCCTGCCAAACCAGTTCCTTTTCCATTTTGACGTGTGTGTGTGTGTGTGTGTGTGTGTGTGTGTGTGTGTGTGTGTGTGTTTGCTGTAAGGTCACAGGTTGTGTTCCTCTGAGGCCCTGCTCCCCTACCTGCAGCTCTGGCGCCCCTGCTTGGTGTCTCACACCCCTCTTTGCTGTTTCCTACCAGGTGCACCCCTAACATGGACATCATCCTCAACATCCCTGTGGAAGAGCTGCTGCCCTTCTAGATGGCGGGGCGATGGGCCACCCCTCCCTCCCTGGTCTCTTCCCCACACCCAGAGCCTTGAGTTCTCTCCTTCCAAGCCCACGTCCCCATCCAGACCTGGTCTGCAGTTCCTTCCTTCCTCCTGCTCCCTCCCTCCGTCCTTTCCTCCCTTGCGTGCTTCCTGTTTCCTGTCCGCTTCCTGCGTCCCCCTCTCCCTCCATGCTTTTGGTTGGTGCTTCTACCTGAGCCAGGTAGGAATTCCTAGTCAAGTCCTTTTTACCAATAAAGCTGGGTTTGCCTTTTGCCAGTGCCTGGGGCTTCCTGAGAAGCCTAGGCAGAAGTGGATTTTGTCTTAAGATTAGGGGTGGGCAACTGTGCTGCCTGCATCTGGGGCTCCAAACTTCTTGAGAAGTGCTGGAGCGCCGCCCCCTGCCTGAGTCTCCATGGTTCTGTGGCTCCGGGCCACCCCCTCCCTGGTGCAGTGCGACTCCAGTTTCTCACCTGATTTGTGCCCAGACCTGTTGAGGCCAGTTCCGGGATGGAGGGGGGATTCCTTGAGTTGGATACACCTGGGAACTTGCTGGACCTTCACTGCTGCTGGCCGTCTCTTTTCCAGTCCAGCCGTCTGTCTGTCCACCGCTTCTACCCCAACGGTGTGTGGACGTGAACACCAACTCATCCTCAGGTGCCTAGTCAGGCGCTGTTCCCTGCCACATACTCTTTCACGATGGACTTAAGAGGGGCGCTGCCTGGACCCCTCTCCAGCAACGGCTTTTGCTCCGGTTACCAGGAGGGCCACTGGCAGGTGGCCTCCAGCTGCCAGTGCCTTCGGGCTTTGCCTTGGCTGCAGAGAGCCGAGCCTCTTCCCACCTTCCATGATGCTTAAGGTGCCAACACCAAAGGCTGTTCTGGCTCCAGGGCTGCTTGGAGGGTTGGCTGAAACTGCCCCTGGACCGGCACTGCAGCTTGACTCCTCCCTCTGCCCAGCCCTGTGCACCTCTCTCTCCTCCCTCCTTCAGCGGGTCCCAAGGACACTCAGTAGTCAATGTCCTGTACCCTGTGCTCTGTCTCAGAATTGGCCTCCCTGGGGACCCAGACTGTTCCCACTCCCAAGAGCCTCTGGCCGCTCACAGATCCACTCTGTGTTGGGAGACTTTCGGTTACAGGTAACAGAACATCCAAGTCAGATTGGCCAAAACGATAAAGGGCTCAGGCACATAAATATTCTAGGTGAGGCGGGGCTTTAACCAGAAGTCAAGCGATGGCACTGAGGACCTAGTTTCTCTTTCTCTCCTTTGTTCTCCAGGGTGTTTCCTCTTGCTGAGGTCGGCACTCCCTGTGGTCCCAGTATGGCTGCCAGCACCTCCTGGGGTGTAGGATTCCTTGTTCTTGTCCTGCTGGAAATAGGCAGGGTCTCTGTCCCAGAACTTTCAGCCCAAGTCTTAAGATTGCTGTGACTGGACAGGCTCATATCACACGCCCACCGGGAACCAGCCTAGGGGGTGGAGAGTGCCTACTAATTTAGTCTAGATCATGTACTGGACCCCTAGAGCAGGGGAAGGGGTTGGGGGGGTAGAGCACATGACCCAGGCTAAGCCAATAGGCACTCCCAGAACCATATGGATCTCCAAACAGAAATGGACAGTGTTGAACATCATAATAGCAAATGCTTATTAGCTAGAACTTACTTATGCTTTACGTCTGTCAACTCATCACATCCTCACAGGAACAACCCTAGGAGGTAGGTATGTGAGCATTTCAATTTTACAGATGAAGAACCCAAAGCATGAAGAGGTGAAGTGACTTTTTCGAAAGTCACCAGGCTAATGTCTGTAAGTGGTGCAGAGCTGAGCCGCCAGGTGTCATAGGAGCCAATTAAGACAAGTCCAAATTAAAGGAACAGTCAGGCTTCAATCGTTCACTTCCACATGTAAGGAAGAGGCCAAACTGGAGAAGCACTGACATCCCTTCCTTGGATTTTCCCCTTGGAACAAATGGCACCATCCCATCAGGTGGATCGAAGCTGGGGATGCTCTCACTGCTGGGGGAGCCCCGAACTAAAGGCTCCTTCAGTTTTATGGATCTGGGGGCCACGGGGAGTGGGGGGATTGGGGTGGGGAAGGGAGTGTGGGAAGGGCTAGGAGCAAGAGGGTCCTGACTCTTGAGGCAGAGTGGAGACGTGTCTTCCAGGTTTCCCCCGCCCCCCATAAGGGTGAGGCACCCGAGGAGGGCCTCGGCCGAAGGCAATCCCCTTCCCACTAAAGGTCTCTGAAGAAAGCTGGGATAGGAATGCAGGTTGGGGCAGGGGCTTGAGTCCTTGGCTGTGACCCACTGAGAGACCGCGTGCACGGGCGGCGTACCACGCTGGTGTGGGGAGGCTAACCCTCCCTGCCAGGCCTGCCGGGGAGAGCCCCTGTAATGGCCTACGGTTGTGCCTAAGAAATGAACAGATACACACTACTATATATAAAACAGGTAAACAACAAAGGCCTACCCTGTAGCACAGGGAACTGTATTCAATATCTTCTAACAACCTATAATGGAAAAGAATCTGAACAAGTGTATACGTGTATATATGAATCACTTTACACCTGAAATGAACACAACACTGTAAATCAACTATCCTTCAATCAAAAAATACTTAAAAAATCAGACATAGGTTTTTGGCCGGAAGCTGGATTCCTTATAGTGAAGGGATGACTGAGTTCTGAGGAGGAAAACCAAGAAACGACCTAAGAGCACACAGATTCCCTCACATCACACACAGCCATCGCGCCTCCAGATGTGATGGAGAGTAACCCCACATGTGCACAGCTGTACATGGATGTGCTCCCACTTTTCAGAGTTGCACGTGGGCTTATCCTCACATGTGCAGGTATCGATGCGTATGCACGCGGGTACACACCAGGACTGCCTTCGTCGATAAAAGAAGGACTGATTGCGTGTCTCACCAGGAATTCTCTGTATTAGTCAGCTTTAGCCCCAGTAACACTGCTGCGTGAGAAGCAACTGCAGAACTCAGTGGATCGCAGCGGTAAGAGTTTATTCTTCACTCGGGGTCCTCAGGTCGACCGCGCTTTGGCTGAACTCAGCTAGGCTGGTTGGGTGGCTCTGCTGTAGGTTGCGGGTCAGCTGGGCTTGGCTTCAGACTCTGGGTTAGGTTCAGGGGTGCCCTTGGGCTCTGGGGCTATCTCGGGTGTGCTTTTCTCAAGGAGGATCACAGGAGCAAACGAGTCAGGCCCACACTTAAGACCTCTGCTTGCATATGTGCTAGCATTTCACTGGGCAAAGGAAGTTAAACGTCCAGTTCCCAAATCAATTAGGCGGAGAAGTAGCTCCCCCGCCCCGTGCACCTCCCCTTACCTGCCCATGGGAGGGTAAGGGAAGTGGATGTTTGCTGCACAGTAACCCGAACGATGGTGCTTTTCTGCTTATGGAGGCAGGGACTGAGCTCCTGGTATTAGTTTTCTATTGCTGCTATGACAAATTATCACAAACTGAAATAAAACAACACAAATGTATTACCTGAACTATCTGTAGGTCAGAAGTCTGACAGATCTCAGAAGGCTAAAATCAAGGTGTCAGCAGGGCTGTCTTCTTTTCTGGAGGCACTAGAGGAGAATCTATTTTCTTGCCTCTTCCAGCTTCTAGAGTCCACTTGTGTTCCTTGGCTTGTGGGGCCCTCCTCCACCTTCGAAACCAGTAACTGCAGGTTGAGTCTTTCTCCCATCACATCACTCTGGCCTCTTCTTCTACTTTTAAGGACTCTGTGATGACACTGGCCCGACCAGGATAATTCAGGGTACCCTCTCTTTCTTACGGTCTGCTGATTGGCAATCTTAGTTTTATCTGCAATCATAATTCCTCTTTGCCATGTAACATAACACACTCCCAGATTCCGGGGATAGGATGTGGACATCTTTAGGGGCTATTAGTCTGCCTATATATAGTTTGCCCCAAAGATTCATGTCCACCCCACGGGCAAAATACATTCACCTCATCCCCAAATCTCATCCCATTATAGCATCAACTCAAAGTAAAAACAACTCATCCAAATCTTATCAGCTCAAAAGTCCCAAATATCATCTAAACCAGGTCGAGGGAGGCTATGAGAAGACTTCATCCGTGGGCACAATTCCTTCCCACCTGTGAACATGTGAAACTCAAGAAACAAGTTATCTGCCACCAAAATGCAATGGTGGGGTGGGCATAAAAGTTATAGAGTCTCCCTTCAAAAGGGAGAAAATGAAAGGCAAAAAGGGGTCACTGGTCCCAAGGGATTTCAAAATTCAGCTGCTTTCTAGGCCTGGGAATAGTCCTCTGGGCTTGTGTCATCACAGAGTCCTTAAAAATGGAAGAAGAGGGGGCTTCCCTGGTGGCGCAGTGGTTGAGAGTCCACCTGCCGATGCAGGGGACACGGGTTCGTGCCCTGGTCCGGGAAGATCCCACATGCCGCGGAGCGGCTGGGCCCGTGAGCCATGGCCGCTGAGCCTGTGCGTCCGGAGCCTGTGCTCCGCAACGGGAGAGGCCACAACAGTGAGAGGCCCGTGTACTGCAAAAAAAAAAAAAAAAAAAAAAAAAATGGAAGAAGAGGCCAGAGTTTTCAGGGAGGCAGTGGCAGGGGTGTGCGATCGGCAGTCAAGTGGTCCTTGGTATCCTGCAAAGAATGGGAGGTAGAGGAACAAAAGTAGTGGAAATTCTTAATTTTTGGAAATCATCCACCAGGGACAGAAGGGAGCAGCAGTTGGTTTGCTCTTTAAAAGGAAGGGAGGTGGTGGTCACACCTATCTAGATAATCTGGAGGATCTAGATCTGCCTCCAAACATTTTAAAGCCTTTAGGTCTTGTGGGGTAGATCTGTAAAGCAGGTTTGTGTAAAGCACTCTAGCAGGGAGTCATTAGCCTGAGTGGGTCTGCTTTTTCCACTTTCCTCTCTCTGCCTAGGGGCTGTTGCGTCCATGGGGGATCCCATTAGGGAATTCTGTCTTTCAGAATTTTGCACCAAAGAGGCACTGAACAGAAAGGCAGGACAGCGAGCTACCTTGGGTGGGCAGGCAGACACATCTTCAGAGGCTAAGTGCAGAAGCCAAAGATTAAATACACAATGGTCCAATGCACCAAAGTGTCACTATTTATCTGGGGCAGCAGGGCTGCCGGACAGTTGTGCCAGGACTCTACCTGTCTTAACTGAGTGTATTTGTGCTGGCTTGTGGCAGGGGCCATTCCCCATTGCTAGAGACATGGGACATGCTCGACGGGTTGTGAAAAGAGCCCGGCCAATCTAACTGCTGCAGTGGTCCCAGGGTGTCATCTGGTGGGAAAGCCCAACAGGTAGAAGATCTTGTGAGGAAAGAGAGGGCTTGCACGGGGCACTCGAGAGGCAGGGTCGTTTTTGTGCCAAAGTCCAAATTAGGGTCCCAGCTCAGGGTGGGGTCCTAGGCAATGCTGTGTCCTGTGGAGTTTTCTGGAGGGGTGATGTCACCTTAGGTGAAATCCTATGGAGAGGGGATGTCATCTCATGTGCAAGTTTGGACAGGTCCTGAATGGAGGCCATTAGGGGCTGGTTGAGCCCAGGTGTAGTAATAATGGGAATTGGCCTCTGAACGACCTTGAGACATAGAGTCTTTGTTAGACAGGGAGTCACAGACCCAGGCACACTTAATCCGCATGTTAATAACCTTCCCATTTGTCTGGGAGGTCACTCTTGCATTCAGGCTTGTGGAGTTCCTAGTGTGGGTGGGAGGAGCCCATCTACCTGGTAGAACTGGCTCCAGAGAGTGGCTGGC